TAGAAGAGTTTTAAATAATAATAATGGTGATACTATTAAACAATAAAAACACTTGTTCGAAGCACAGTGCTGATCACATTACACTTAAATCATTTTAGCCTCATAATGACTTGGCAAAGGGGTATTCAAATTACCCCCTCAAAAAAGGGGGAGAAAGTTCTCAGGGGTGCAGAATTTACACATCTGTGTAGCAGAGCGAGCCAGGGGGGACTGTGATGCAGGAAAGACCTGCTCGTGAATCTCTGTCCTTGTTAGTTTTTTATTGCTGTGTCCCTCTCACCTTCATGTACTTGTTGAAGACAGTCTGGATCTCCTCATTGATGCTAGGCTGGAGGACAGCTCGCAGAAGGTCCATGGAGATAGCAGGATCCGTGAAACTGCATTCAGGAGGGAGACACAGTCAGGGGTCATGTCCCAAGGTCATGTCTCTCCTGGTCTGCCCAGCCAACTCTTGACACCATCTCCTTTAAGGAGAATAGACAGCTTCTACTGAAAACAAGCTACGTGCCCAGGTTCTGTGCATGCTACATAGATGTATGGCTTTATTCCATTTTCACAATAACACTATGAAATGAGCATTACTCTTTTGAAAACATTAATTTTTAAGTTTACATCCCAGTTAGTTAGCATTTGACGCAACAATGATTTCAGGAGTAGATTCCTTAATGCCCCTTACCCATTTGGCCCATCCCCCCTCCCACAACCCCTCCAGCAACCCTGTTTGTTCTCTGTAGTTAAGAGTCTTATGGGGGCGCCTGGGTGGCTCAGTCGGTTGGGCGTCCGGCTTCGGCTCAGGTCATGATCTCACGGTTCGTGGGTTCGAGCCCCGTGTCGGGCTCTGTGCTGACAGCTAGCTCACAGCCTGGAGCCTGCTTCAGATTCTGTGTCTCCCTCTCTCTCTGACCCTCCCCTGCTCATGCTGTCTCTCTCTCTCTCAGAAATAAACATTAAAAAAAAAAAAGAGTCTTATTATTTGTCCCCCTCTCTGTTTTTATATTATTTTTGCTTCCCTTCCCTTATGTTCATCTGTTTTGTATCTTTATTTTTTTTAATGTTTTATTTATTTTTGAGTGACAGAGAGTCAGAGCATCAGCAGGGGAGGGGCAAAGAAAGAGAGAGACACAGAATCTGAAGCAGGCTCCACGATCCGAGCTGTCAGCAGAGTCTGATGCAGGGCCCAAACTCATGAACTGTGAGATCATGACTTGATCTGAAGTCGGACGCCCAACTAAGCCACCCAGACACCCGTTTTATATCTTAAATTCTTCATGTTAGTGAAAGCATATGATATTTTTCTCTGACTAAATTTCACTTAACATAATACTCTCTACTTCCATCCATGTAGTTGTAAATGGTAAGATTTCATTCTTTTTGATTGCTGAGTAATTCTCCATTATATATGTATACCACATCTTCTTTATCCAGTCATTGGTCAATGGACATTTGGGCTCTTTCCATACTTTGGCTATTGTTGATAATTCTGCTATCAACATTGGGGGGTGCATGTGCCCCTTCAAAACAGCACACCTTTGTCCTTGGATAAATACTTAGTAGAGCAACTGCTGGGTTGTAGGGTAGTTCTATTTTTAATTTTTTGAGGAACTGTTTTCCAGAGCAGCCGCACCAGTCTGCATTCCCACCAGCAGTGCAAAAGAGATCCTCTTCTCCGCATCCTCGCCAACATCTGTTGTTGCCTGAGTTGTTCATGTTAGCCACTCTGACATGTGTGAGGTGGTATCTCATTGTGGTTTGCTTTGTATTTCCCTGAGGATGAGTGATGGTGAGTATTTTTTTTTTTTTCATGTGTCTGTTAGCCATCTGGATGCCTTCTCTGGAGAAGTATCTATTCATGTCTTTTGCTCATGAAATGAGCATTATCCTTAAAGTGTTTTATGAAATACAAAATCTATACGGTTTAATAGTTTTAGTGAACACCCATTTAATCACTAACAACGTCAAGAAATATAATCCATATCCTATAAGCCTAGCCCCACTTTTTTCTGAACTTCCCTGCTATTCTGTCTCTTTAGCAATTTATTTATTAAAAATTTTTAACTGTTTATTTTTGAGACAGAGACCGAGTGTGAGCAGGGGATGGACAGAGACACACACAGACTCCAAAGCAGGCTCCAGGCTCTGAGCTGTCAGCACAGAGCCCAATGAGGGGCTCTAACCCATGAACTGTGAGATCATGACCCGAGCCAAAGTCGGATGCTTAACCGACTGGGCCACCCAGGCACCCCCCTGGATCTCTTTAGCGCCCTCAAGCAGTGGTGAGCCACTGAGCGTTAGGGATCTTAGGTACGACTGAATCCATGACTAACCCTCACTTTGTACATCAGTTCAGAGGAGGCAGTGATTCAACCAAGGTCACACACAGAGTTAGAGAATCTCAGTCTGCTTTTTCCTAGTCCAGTGCTCTTTCTAATGGCTGATTATCTCTTCTCAGCTTGGTGTAGTGGGGATCCCCAAAGGTGCCATCCAAGCCAATGCCTGGGAGGTAAATACCCAGGACCAGCCTTACCTTGTTGTCATCTGTGAGCGGCGGCCCCTTCGCTGCACCTGCCGGTGCTTTATCATTATGTTCCAAGGGTTCTGTGGGGACGAAGGGAACAGGTGTCACTGAGGCCTGTGACACCGGGCTGGAGGGTGGACATGAACTTAAACGTGGATATCCCTGCTTCTCAGGGACGGGGATGGCGGGAGCGAAGCGGTTGAAAGGCCCTGCCCGGGAGGAGGAACTGAGGACAAGTTTCCTGCCTCGAAAACTCCCAACCCCACATTTTCTGGAACGGCAGGAAGAAGGGAACCAGTGTTTCCCGAGGGGCTACTCTGGGGCAGGCGGTGTGCTGGGCGTTTTCCTCGTACTTACACCCCATCCCCACAACTTTATGAGGCAGGCACTAATCATCTCCATTTTACAGAAGACGAAACCGGAGCTCAGGGGTTGGCAGGACTTGCTCACGTCACCTAGCTAGGAGGGCGGCACCAGAATTTGAATCCAGGTCGTTGGACTGCGAAAACGCCAACTCCCTGGGCAGCTCCAGCCGCCGCGTTCTCTCGCCCGCGGGCCAGGGTCCCGGGAGCCCGAGGCCCAGCCGGCCCGAGCCCAGGCCCAGCCCCGGCCTCCCCGGGGGCGCCCTCACCGTGAGAACCAGCTGCCCCGCTGCGCCCGCGTCGCCCAGGTCGGGGCCGCCCCGCTCTGCCCCGCTGGGTCCCCGCGGCTGCTCGGCGTCGCCAGTGGCCCCCATGGCTCCCCCGGCCCCCGCAACTTCAGACCGACTCAGCCACCGGCCGGAAGGTGGCCCCGTGACGTCATTGGAGCGCGCCTTTCGCCGGCCCGGAAGCGCGCCGCGCCGAGCTGCGGGGTTTCCATGGGAACCGAACGGCGGCGTCTAGCTAGGGTCTGAGACGCCTACAGGCGCTGAGTGCGCTGTGGTCGGGGCTGCGTCCGGGGCGGGGCTGTGTCCCCAGTGTAGGCTGTGGGTGTCTGGTCGGGAACGCTCCCCTCTGGGTCAAGGCGGGTGGAGAAGTGCGAGGCAGGAGGAGGGGAGCAGGCTCCCTGGGCTGAGGTTGGGGAGGGGAAGGGAGAGGAGCATAGCGGCGCCTACAGTCCGGTCTTTGAAAGCCGTAGATCTTAATATGCCTCGCGCTCAGCCCCCGGAATTGGAGTGGGCCTAATGCGGGGACCCGATAACCGAACGCGAAGGGGTCTGGCCCGTGCCGTCCCAAACACTCACCCACAGGGGCCCTTCAGGCCTACACCCCAGGGGCTGCCTCTTGCATCTCAAGACATGATGATGAAGGTTGGGTCTTGGCCCGTGGACTCCCCAAACCCCAGGGAGCTGGGCTTCTATCCCCAGACGGGTGATTCTGGGATGGGCAGGGGATGCAGGGGTTTAACAGCTATGGAGTTCCCCGGAGCTCCTCTTAGCTCTGGCTTAGAGATTAGATGTCCATGAATAGAACTGGATCGATTTATGGGTGGTAGAGAAAGTCCCTTTTACCAGGTCACAATATGAGGGAGTAAAAAGTGCAGGAGTTTTACATGTAGAAAGGTCTGAGTTCAATATGATATTAGTGATTAACAACATTGAGTATGGAATTGGGCTGCCTACCTTTGGTCTACTACTAACTGACGCATGTGTCTTCTGTGCCTCAGTTTCCCCATCCTGTAGAGTGGGTATAATGGTACCTAACCTATAGGGTTGCAGTGAGGATTAATTAAATGTCATTAATTCATGTAAAGCACTTAGAACCGCAGCACAAGTAAACCCTCAAGTAATGCTATCTATTGTTATTGTTAGTATATTCCAGTAGCCACTGCTTACTAGCTTTATGATCTTGGGTATTCTTTCTCAACCCCTCTGAACCAATTTTCTTACCTCTGCAAAACTATCGTGAGGATTAAAATAAATAATACATATAAATCAGATGTTAGGTCATTAACAAATGTTAATTACCTCTACGCTCCAACATCAGCCTTAAAACAATGAGGCAACTGGGGCACCTGGGTGGCTCAGTCTGTTAAGCGTCCGACTTCGGCTCAGGTCATGATCACATGGTTTGTGAGTTCGAGCCCCATGTCGGGCTCTGTGCTGACAGCTAGCTCAGAGCCTGGAGCCTGCTTCTGATTCTGTGTCTCCCTTTCTCTCTCTGACCCTCCCCTGTTCATGCTGTTTCTCTCTCTTTTTCTCAGAAATAAATAAAAAATATTAAAAAAAACCCAGTGAGGGAACTATACAGTACTCTGTGGCTCTATTAAGGAGATTTTTACTTTGAGCCTTGACTTTACTTGAGCTCTGGGCAAGGTGTATGCCTCTGCCCTTTAATCTTACTGGGCTACGCAGTGTCAGTGAATACAATTAAATATCATGCCTGCCCAAAGTCATAAATAGGACAGATAAAGGAAAGTAAAAAGAAGTAGAGGAAGAGGAGATAAAGAATAGAGGGTGTATATGGAGTTGGGTTCTGTCAACTTGCTTTCACACAATCCAAAAATGGCCTGTGTGGCCAGAGGGACCAAGATGTAGGTTTTTGGTGCATTTGTATTGGTTCTGAACAAACTCAAATATGGCTTTATTGTAGTTTTTTTGATGCTTTCTAAGTAATCTGTTCCATTCTCTGTTTTCTGTGTTGCTAGGATGAATAGGAGCCACAGTGCATTTTATTAGCTTTGGTTATTATTAAAGTCACATCTCTGGTCCTTCCCTCTGTCACTTGGGCTGCAGCCGTGTCCTTCTAGAGACCTTTAGGGCTCTTTGGTCCTTTATCCAGGGGCCATCCCTATGTTTCCCCAGCTACTGACTAGGTTCCTTATCATCGTCCAGAGGAGTTGTGTGTATTGCATTACAGAGTTTGGTCACCATCATCACATGTGCCTTTGGGAGTGCCAGGAATTTTCCCACATACCAGCGACCAGTCACTTTTCTTCTTGTTGGGAGAAGACATTCTGGGGGATATTGTGCAAGGGAAGACTTTGGGGCTGGGTTTGGGCCGCTCTTCTAGTCCTGCCCTTCCTTTGGTGGATGCTCTGGGCAAGGTGTACGCCTCCGACCTGGACTGAGCGCTCATCTCCCTTCTCAGCACCATCATCATGTTGAGCTGCCTCTTCCTCCTGAAGGCACTTCTTGCTCTTGGGTCCCTGATATCCTGGGTGGCTTCCGGAGAGCATGGTGAGCTAATACTTGGATTCCCTGGCTGACAGTGACAGAAAGTGACTAAGGAGAAGCCATCCCCTGCCTCTTTCTGGAGTGAGAGCCCTTATTTATGGAAATGGTGGTCCCTGCAGGACAGGGCTGGATGTGTAGATTCTCAGGACAGCCAGGGTAGGTCTTCTTGGCGTGGAGGTAGGACTTCCAGTCTGGTCTACTAGAGGATCTAGCTTTTCCATAGAGCTCCTTAAATGGGAACGAGATCACCCCAACCTTTCCCTCTCATTAGCCACAAAGTGGCTGGATGTTTAGTTGTGGTGGGCACGTGTCATTGGTGATGTGGGGAGGAGGGGAAAGGGGTTGCAGAGACACTGAATAGGAATGTTCGGAGAGTCTGAAAATCCTTGAAGTGCACTTGGCTTCCATTCCCCATTTCTAGAGGCGCAGCCAGTTACCCCAACCTCATGTGTATCGTGTATCTTCTGCAGTGAAAGAAGGAGAATGCCCTCCTAATAAGAACCCGTGCAAAGAGCTATGCCAGGGGGATGAGTCCTGTCCGGCCGGGCAGAAGTGCTGCAGCAACGGCTGTGGTCGGGTCTGCCGAGGAGGCATTCTGAAGGGTATGTTGGCTGGATGGGCAAAATCCAGGTGTGCTTTCTGACCCTGCCTCTGGGCCAGAAAGACTCGGAGAGCTTTCTACCTCCTAGATTACTCTTTTTTTTTTTTAATGTTTTTGAGAGAGAGCAAGAGCACGTATGAGCAAGGGGGGGGGTGGTGGTGGACAGAGAGCGAGGGAGACAGAATCTGAAGCAGGCAGCACAAAGCCAGATATGGGGCTTGAACCTACAAACTGCGAGATTATGACCTGAGCCAAAGTGAGATGCTCAACCAACTGAGCCACCCGGGTGCCCCTGGATTGGTTCTTGAAATCTAGCTTGCCTGCGGCACCTCCTCCCCACTTTGGGGTCTCTTTAATCACTCAGTTCCCAGTTCTTTTTCTTCTATCAGGGAAGAACACACAGCTGATGATCTCCGTCTTTTATTGTTATTATTTTAATGTTTATTTATTTACTGAGAGAGAGAGAGGGAGAATGAGTGGGAGAAGGACAGAGACAGAGAATCCCAAGCAGGCTTCATGCTGTCAGTGCAGAGCCCAATGCAGGGCTCAAACCCACAAACTGTGAGATCATAACCTGAGCCGAAATCAAGAGTCATATGCTTAACTGACTGAGCCACCCAGGTGCCCTTCTGTCTTTTATTTGAACTCAGTGTTCCTGGGAGGCTGGAAGGCAAAGCTGTGTGAAGGGAAACCTGTTTAAGACAGTGATCAAAAGCATAGACCCCAGAGCCAGACAGACTTTTCATGCCTCAGAAAAGCCTGGACCAGCTCTTTGTAAGTGTTAAGCTTTTAAGCCTCAATTTCCACATCTGTAAAACGGGGATAATTGTTGTGAGGATCAAATGAGAGACTCCTGGCACCACGTAAACTCGGTAAACGTTACGGTACATGTGAGCTGTTACTGCGGTTACCGTCTCTGCTTTAGCACCAGGGTTGAGAGTCCTCAAGAAGCTCAGGGCTTCCTTGCTTTGATTTTCCCTTTTGCGACACCTGCGGGTGCCACCAGGCACCATTATCTCTCTCTGTCTTTTTTGAGTGTGTGGCTGTCTCCCTTGTTTGCTACAGGGAGGAAAGGAGATTGTCCCAGGGCTGTTCGGAAACAATCCTGTTTCCAAAGGTGCGTCACTGATGAGACTTGTCCCGGTGTAAAGAAATGCTGCGCATTTGGCTGTCACAGGAGCTGTGTGGTCCCAGTCTCTCAGCCAAAGCTGGGTAAGGAACTCTCCCCTGAGCCCCCATGGGCTCTTTGGGGGCCTGCTTGCTGCTTTTTAAAACAATTTTTATAATTATACATTTTTGAGAGAGAGAGATGGAGTGCAAATGGGGGAGGAGCAGAGAGAGAGGGAGACACAGAATCCGAAGCAGGTTCCAGGCTCTGCACTGTCAGCACAGAGCCTGATGTGGGGCTCGAACCCACAAACTGTGAGATCATGACCTGAGCCGAAGTTGGACACTTTAACCTTAACTGACTGAGCCACCCCGGCGCCCCTGCTTGCTTCTTTCTCAAATAATCCCATACCATCTTATCATTGGTTTTACTTTACTTTGAGAAACAATAATTGGGTGCCTGCCATATTCTGAGAACTTTTCTAAAAAAAAAAAAAAAAGATAGACAAAGGGTTACCAGCCACGCGATCTGGGGTATGTGGTCCAGGCAGGCAGAGGAGGCTGCCAGAACGGAAATCTTGACGTGTCTTTATTGGCAGGCACATTTGAAAGCTGTTGGCTAATTCTCAATTCCCTTTGTCAACTGCAATATTCTCTATTAATTCTCAGCTCAAGAATCTGCAGGGAGAGAGAGAGCAAGATAGAATCTTGGTACCCATGCAAGGCAGCAAGCATTTCCATGCTCACTTGCTTCTGAGGCTTTATGTCCTCTGTCCGCACACAGGATAGCCGTCTCCTGTTGGAAGTGTGCCCTGTTTTATTCTGGTTCTGGTAGAGAGGTGTTTGAAAGAGATTTCTCCTACCTCTAGCAAGACTGTAATGCCCCCAATTCTCCATTTATGCATTATTTCTTCAACAAATATTTGTTGAATGTGTATATTGTTTTCCTAGATCTAGAATGGGCTCCGGGTATACTGTGGTGAACCAAGTGGCTCCCATCCCTGCCTTCTTGGAGCTCATGGTCTGGTGCGGGAGAAAGAGGTTTCACAGATGAGCAGGCAGGTGCACATATACTTTCCAATGTGAGAAGGATATGGAGGAAAACTAATGGGTGCTGAGAGTTAGAAAGGGGATGCCGGCTTTAGACTGGGTGGTCAAGGAAGGCCTGTCTGGGGCAGTGACATTTAACCTGCAGTTGCGGTTAGCCAGGTGAAGGGTGTGATGAGCATCCCAGGAAAAGGGAGAAGCGAGTGCAAAGGGCTCCAGGTGAGAAGGAGCTTGCCACCCGAGAGAAATGTAAAGAAAGCTGATATGGTTGGAGTAGAGGCAGGGAGGGACAGAATACTTCCTGCTGAGGATGGAGGCCAGTTAGACCAGGGGGGTGGCAGTGGGGATGCAGGAAAGGTGACACAGTGGAGAGAATTTGGAGGTTGGAAGGTTGAAGTGATAGAACTTTCTGCTCTATTGCTTGCCTCCTCCCTCGTTCCCTGAGAGACCCCCCCTAAAAAAAGTATTAGGGATTGATGATATGTCGGTCTCCTGTGGCTAGCCCCTTCTCATTTCCCTCTTGTTTCCAGATTTTTATGGTTACTTTTGCTTGTTTGGGCTTCCAAATATATTTTGTTATCATATTGCTTATCACTTCCCCCTTCCCATAAATACAGAGGCTATTTTTATTGGAGAGGTGTTGGATGTATACATTAATTTAGGGACAACGGACATTTTTATGTTGAATCTTTGTCTTCCCACGGTGCAAGTGTATTTGGTGTGTTGCAGGGTGTTTTATAGTTTTAAAATACTTCTCGATGGGTGAATGCCTAAGATACTTTGTTATTTTCCTTGTTATCTTAAATGGAGTCTTCTGTCATACTTTCCATTATGTTTTCTAAAGAAACTGGAACCATTCTCTCCTCTGAGTCCATGTGGCAGAATATTACAGTAGAAAAGAGTAGGTTTTGGTTGTCAGGGAGCTGGGTTCAAGCCTGAAGGCTCAGCAGTTACTGGCCAGCATGTAAGAAGATACTGGTCAAGTATCTTCTGCTTCTCTGAGCCCCAGTTCCTTTCTCTGTAAAATGGAAAGAATAAGCCTTGGAGGTTGTTGCAATGATTCAAAGTATGTAAAGTGTTTGGCCCTGATAGACATTAGCTTCCTTCCTCTTGCCTGCTGAGGTGGGCTTCCTCAGGAGTACAGTTTCTAAGCAACTCCTTTTATCGAGAACCGGGATTGCTTTCTCCTCCCCTGATCACTTGCTCTCTGAGACCCTGAAACTCCACAATATGTGACAACCTCTTTTCTTCTGGCCAAATCTCCCCAGGTGGTGGGCCCCTTCCCTGAACCCCATGGGGCCGTCTGTTTCTGGCTTAGGCAGCTCTCTCGGGCGCCCTGCCCATAAGAGAGAATAGAGCGTTGTTCTCCTTGCCAGGACTCTTGAGGCCCAGCTCTGGAAACAGAGCCTGGGAATCTGTGTTAGGCAGGTCACTCCCCGCCAGCCAGTAGGGCCGAGCACAATCTTCCCAGTGTGTGAAGCTGACGGCTGAATTACGGGGGCTGAGGGTGAGGCTGGCACCCAGGCGAGGCACTCTGTGAGCTGCTCTGGGCCCTGGCCCGCCCATGCGGGTTCCTCTTTCGTTGGGGCCAGGCAGGTTGCAGCAGCCATCTCCCTGCACATCTCCCAGAGTGCACTGGTTGAGTGGGGCTCTTAGACTGGCTGGAAGCGATACTGGCTTTTCTACAGCTTCGGTCCTGCACTGGCCCACTCACCCAATGGGACTCATTGCTATACTCAAGGTCACAGGAAGCTGTCCTGGGCTCTGAGTGGTTCCTGCTTTCCCTCAGCTCTGACATTGCTGGAGGTTTACCATCGCCATTGCTGGTCAGTTTGGTAACGTGGAGGGACAGTCAGGCCTCCAGAGTGCACAGGGCCGACTCTGGGACCTGCTCCCCTCAGGCAGTTCTGGTCTACACCTGCATCTGAGTCTTGGCTTCTCTGCTTGCCCTGTGGCCTTGGGCTGGGCAAGTCCTTTTATCTCTCTGAACTTTACCTTTGTCATCTGTAAAAGTGGAGATGAGGATGTTTACACCGCAAAGAGTGACAATGTAGTGTCTTACTCCTTTGGGCTTCTCTAATAGACTATCACAGACTGGGTGGCTTATAAATAGCAGAAATTTATTTCTTATGATTCTGGAGGCTGAGAGGTCCAAGATTAAGGTGCCAGCTATAGCCAGTGTCTAGTGAGGGCCAGCTTCCTGGTTCACAGGCTGCCATGTTTTTACCGTGACCTCACATGGCAGAAGGGCAATATGGGGATCATCCCATTCATGGGGGCTCCCCTCTCCTGACCTGATCACCTCCCAAAGGCCCCATCTCCTGACACCATCACATTGGGGGTTAGATTTCAGGATATGAATTTTAGGGGAACATGAATGTTCAGTCTATATCATATAGTTTGGAAGAAACGTATTTAAAAAGCCCAAACAAAACCTACCAAATAATGCTTAACAGCTCAGCTCAGACTGTGATGCCAGTGCCTCCCTGTTCAACTTTCCACCTGTTTCAAGTCTGGTCCACCTGTCTGTTTGCTCACTTCTTTGCTTACTGGAAGTGTGGAAGGAAAGTTTTTCCTTTTTATGGTCGCGTTTTCATTTAAAAATTTTTTTTATTTTATTTCTTTAGACAATGCATGCACATGAGCAGGGGTTGAGAGAGAGAGAGAGAGAGAGAATGAATCCTAAGCAGGCTCCATGCTAAGAGCAGAGCCTGATGGGGGGCTCCATCCTATGACCATGGGATCGTGACCTAAGCTGAAATCACGAGTCGGATGCTCAACCAACAGAGCCACTCAATGTCCTCCCACCTTCGGTGTTCATTTTAAAATCACCACCCTGCTGGTGTATAAAGAATGGATGGGGGCAAATGTAGTAGATGGCAGGCCCGTGAAGAGGCTGTTGTGGCAGGCTGGGGGAGAGGTGACCTTAGGCCAGGGTGGTGACTGTGCAGATGTGGGAAGGTGACAGACTTGGAGTACTTTTCAAGGTCGAGTTGACGGGCGAAGAAGTAAGTGGATGTGGCTGCTGAGGGTGAGAGTGTCAAGAGTAGTGCTTAGGTGTGTGGCTTGAGTAGCTGGGTGATGGGAGCATCTGGGGAGGAAGAGGTATTGGAGCAAAGATTCAGATTAAAGCCTAAGAGTTGTCTGCTCTGGATCCCTCATGGCCCCCTCTCCCATGCCAGGAAACCTGATCATTCTCGATCCCCTGTGAGCTGCTGTTTTGCTTATTACAACGTGTATTTTATATTCTTTGGATGGATGGGTGGCCTGGGCTCCCTGTGTGTTTGGATGACCCTTTTGTGAAACCTCACTGCTGGTTGTTCAGAAAAGAGTTAACATAGCAGGCCTGAGATTGATATCTTAGAAGGGCCTGCTTGTTACATTGGCCCTGGCTGGCTTCAAGGAAGTTAGATTTTTGAGAGTGTTCCTACCACCGTAACTGGTAAGAGTCATATCTGCTAGGCAGAGAGTGCCCAGTAAAAACTCTGAGTCTCTCATGAGTGTTCCTGGTAGACAACACTTCACATGTGTTGTCACTTGTCTTATGTGATTCCACTGGGAGAGGACTCTTCTGGACTTTGCCTCATGCACCTTTTCCCTTTGATGGTTTTGCTTTGTGTCCTCCTGCTATAATGAATCATGGCCATGAGTACAACTATGCACCGAGTCTTGTGAGTCCTAGCAAATCACCCAACCTAGGAGTTGTCGTCGAGACTCACTGGTTTATTGATACGTTTTCCTAATCCCTAAAACTCTCTACCACTGGGTCTTCTCTTTTGTCAGAATTCAGCTCAGCAAGTCCTAGCTCTTACTGATTAGTTTTTGGGTAATCCTTGTGGAGTGTAGGGGATCATAATGATTTAAAGGGCACTGGACCTAGTGTGAGAGCTGGGAATTTGGGACCCAATTCTGCCACCATTGACCTCAGGCCAATCCTGCCCCCTTCCTGGATGTCTGTCTGTCTTTTTGCAAGAGTAGTAGGTTTGATAGCTCTGAGGGCCCTTCTTGGCTTAAGAAGTTTTGAGATTTCACTTTTCTTTTCTTTTTTTTAAAATATTTTTATTTATTTCTAGGAGAGAGAGAGAGAGAGCGAGAGCAGGGGAGGGTCAGAGAGAGAGGGAGATACAGACTCTGAAATATGCTCCAGGCTCTGAGCTGGCAGTCAGCACAGAGCCCGATGTGGGGCTCGGACCCATGAACCGCGAGATCATGACCTAAGCGAAAGTCAGACGCTTAACCGACTAAGCCACCCAGGCGCCCCATGAGATTTCGCTTTTCTGCCAGCACCTGGTATCCTTCCCTCAGATATAGTGGAAGGTTGGAGCTGGGACAACAGTAAAGCCTATGTCCGAGTATTTCCTGGGCTTCCTTGTTTTATTCCACTTTTTTCGGTGATAGCTTGGGGTCCTTGGATAGAGGCATATTTACAGGGTGCGGATGACCATTCCCGTTGAGACTCATCCCTATTTCTCATCCTGGTTCCTGGTTAGATAACTGTGAGGTGCCTGGAAACCATGTGGTATGAAGAACTGAGCTTACCTCGTCCAAGAAAGCTGAGATGGTGAAAGGCAGAGGATTCTATCTAAGGGGATGGTACAACCGTGTTTTCACAAGGTCTCTGGGGATAGGACAAGAACTAATGGATAGAATTTCTAGAAAGCCAGATTTCAGTTGAGTATAAAGTATAAGGATGGGCTAGTCTGGCTTGGAGGTCGTGACGCCCCATTAATGCCAGTGTTTGAGCTGAGAGTTGGGAATTATTGACAGGGATTCACAGGCATCAGGGGGTGCAGTGGGTGGCCATGCTGGGCACTGGTCAAAGGGCATATGTTCTGACCTTCAGGGCTTTAGCCTGTGGCCCAAGAGTCCCTTCAATGCTTCTAATATCTGACAAAACTGCAGGGACCTCAAGGAAGCCTGGCCTGGAAGACAGTAGAGGTTTGGTCTCTATGCCTGGTCCTGGGGTTGAGGGCAGAGAGTGGCAGAATGCTCCTGGCATTGGTCACTTCAGGGCCAAGTTCAGCAAAATGGTGAAATCTGGGAAGGGTGCTGCTCAGTATAATTCCCCTAGAAGTTACGTTGCTAGGTTTTTCCCACCAAGGAGATTGTTTTTATACCCAGCCTTCTAAACTGTGGGATGAAAGGCTTTGTTCAACAGATTTTAGTGTTTGTCAAGCAGGTGGAGAGGTGTGGAGGGTACATCTGGCAGTTACAGTGGCCATATTTTCTGGATAAAAAATCAGGTTTGAAGGGTGCCTGGGTGGCTCTGTTGGTTAGGCATCCAGCTTTGACTCAGGTCATGATCTCATGGTTTGTGGGTTCGAGCCCTGTGTCGGGCTCTGTGGTGACAGCTGGGAGCCTGGAGCCTGCTTCGGGTTCTGTGTCTCCCTCTTTCTGCCCCTTCCCCGCTTATGCTCTTTCTCTCTCTCAAAGATGAATAAAAAAATATCAGGTTTGATGTGATGTGCCATTGGCATAGAATCTTTGAAAGAGGGGCTGTTCGGGAAAATCCCGGGATGCAGGGTTATTAGACCTTGATTGTTTAGCTGCACGTGTTCTTGGAGTCCAGCACTTGCTTTTTCCATCATGGCAGACTTCCTGGCAGCCATATGCATTTGTATTTACTTGTTCTTACTCAAAGGCCCCGGGCCAGTCCGGTTTTGGTTTTCTACAATGCTTTTAATTGCCTGCCACTTCTTTCCTCCATTGCAAAAACTTGAAATAAACACTGGGGTGAATGAGTCACGGTGAGTCAGTTTGTTTTGGATGTGACTTCTTAGGGAGTGCCTGCTCCGGAGGGCCTGTGCCTGCGTGTTTTAAGGATGGCGTAGTAGAGAGAGTGCTTCCTTACACACCAAGAGGCTGACATTTGTCCTGCTTTGCCACTGACTCACTCTGTAGTTCTGGGCAAACTCCTTCTCTTCTCTGAGCATCATTTTCTTCATAGGGGTGGTGAAGGGGCCCATCGAGGATGTGTTTGGCTGTGTGCAACAGAAAATTAACGGAGTCGGTATAACGTTTTTCTCATATTGCGAGAAGTCCTGAAGTAGGTAACAGGACATGGGAACCTTCATCCAGGTTCTCTCTCTTCTGGGGCCCCTCATCATTCCGCAGTGGAGCCCAAGCTGCTTCACGGCATAGTGGCTGGTTTCCACAGGGCGGGATTGTTTGGAGAGGATGAGCCCCAGTGCCCAAGTGCTTATCAAGCATCTGCCTGCATCACACTTGCTGGTGTCCTGTTGGTCAAAGCAAGTCCCCCCCGCCCAGCCCAGAGACAGTATGGGAGGTGTGGCCACCACTTACCCCAGGAAGGAGGGTCAGAGAGTGAATATGGGGCTGGCAGGAGGGACGTTTGCCACCGTGGGTTAGACCTCAGCAGTGTTTTCCAGACTGTGAGTCTTGAAATCCGTTTAGTAGTTGATGACCAGCATTTAAAAAAAGAATAGTTCATAGCAGCACTCTCAACAATAGCTAAAACATGGAAAGAGCCTAAGTGTCCACCAACGGATGAATGGATCAAGAAGATATGGTTTATCTATACCATGGAATACTACATGGCAATGAGAAAGAATGAAATCTAGCCATGTATAGTAATATGGATGGACCTTGAGGGTGTTATGCTGAGCGAAATAAGTCAGGCAGAGAAGGACATATACCATATGTTTGCACGTATAGGAGGATTAGGAGGAACTTAATGGAGGACCGTGGGGGAGAAGAAGGGGGGAAATAGTGGGGGAGAGGGAGAGAGGCAAACCATGAGATTCTTGAATGCTGAGAACAAACTGAGGAGTGATGGGTGTGGGGGGATGATGGGCATGGAGGTGGGCACTTGTGGGAATGAGCACTGGGTGTTATATGGAAACCAACTTGACAATAAACTATTTGTAAAAAAAAAAAAAAAGAAGAAATAGACTATGAAGTATATACATGTGTGTACATAAGCATATACATTTTGGGCATGCATATGGATTAACGTTCACAATGAAAGATATATTTTGCACTCAAGAGTAACAGTGAAAATAACCAGAAACACTGGGCTTGAACACGTCTGGGCCCCAATTCTATGATTCTATGGCAGAGTCTGGAGGTGAATGTCCAGCTGACCCCCTTCCGTGTAAGGAGCTGTGTGATGGGGATGTGTCCTGTCCCCAGGGGCATAAATGCTGTAGCACCGGCTGTGGCCACTCCTGCCGTGGAGACATTAAGGGAGGTATGTTGGCTCCTTGGGGGAGAAGTCCTTGATTTCCAGGGTGGGTTGGGGTGGGAGCCATCCCTGGCCTCCGTGTCTGTCCTTCTGGGGGGTGGGCGTGGTCAGAGTTCTCATGCTTCTGGTTGTCCTAGCCCCCCAACCCAAAGCAGCCCCTCTTCCTAGGGCCCAGGGGCCCCCTTGGGCATTGAAAGAAGTAGAGGAAGGCAGTGTGGGGTAGTAGGAAGGGCCCTGAGGCTGAAAGCCGGGCAGTGTGGCTTCTGGGCACTATTCTGCTGCTGACTGGCTCTGTGACCTAAGGGAAGCAAGCTCCTCTCCCTGAGCCAGTTTCTTTGTAAACTGAGGGAGTTGCCCCAAATCAGGTTTTCTGACCGATTTCTTAGCAACGTGTACACAACAGATAAAAGCATTGCTGCTCTGATTCTTTTGTTTCTTCAATATATTTTGAAAAGCAAGTACAAGGGCACCTGGGTGGCTCAGTTGGTTAAGCGTCCAACTTCGGCTCAGGTCATGATCTCACGGTCCGTGGGTCCGATCCCGGCGTTGGGCTCTGTGCTGACAGCTCAGAGCCTGGAGCCTGTTTCAGATTCTGTGTATCCCTCTCTCTCTGACCCTTCCCTGCTCATGCTGTCTCTCTCAGAAATAAATAAAACATTAAAAAAAATTAAAAAAAAGAAAGCAAGTACATATTTTTGAATGTTCCTTTTATACCAGGTGCTGTAGAACTCCATTTCAAAAAAATTTTTTCTTAAAATTTTTTTAATGTTTTATTTTTTTCAAGAGACAGGGAGACACTGTGAGTGGGGGAGGGGCAGAGAGAGAGAGAGAGGGAGACACAGAATCTGAAGCAGGCTCCAGGTTCTGAGCTGTCAGTACAGAGCCCGATGCAGGGCTCGAACTCATGAACTGTGAGATCATGACCTGAGCCGAAGTTGGATGCTTAACTGACTGAGCCACCCAGGGGTCCCCCCTAAAATTTTTTTTAAGTTTATTTATTTTGAGAGAGAGAGAGAGAAAGAGCAAGCACACAAGTGGGAGAGGGGCAGAGAGAGAGGGAGAGAGAGAGAATCCCAAGCAGACGCTGCACCATCAGTGCAGAGCCTGAAGTGGGTCTTGATCTCACAACCACGAGATCACAACCTGAGCTGACATCAAGAGTGAGACGATTCACTGACTGAGCCCCCCAGGGTCCCTGTAGAACTTCATTTCAGAGTCACTGGCTCAAACGTTGTGTTTAGGCAACATATGTTTGAGGTTCTGAAGACAGATTCTTGTCCTTTTGTAGCTTATAGTTTCTCAGGGGAGGTAGGCAGAGCAGGAATTATAATAAATTCTGATGAAAGGAACACAAAACAGGGCACCAAACGTCGTCTGGCAGACCAGGCCTCCCTGCAGAAGTAACACTTCTGGAGGCCCAGGTGTGGAGGAGAGAGTGGTGGTCTTGACACGCTCCAAGCAGCCCCGCCCACAGAGCTGTCAGACCCCGAGGGACTGCCGTAGGAAACTCTGTGAGGTACCATTTGAAAAGTATCGGTCCAGATGTCCTCTTGGGACCCTACTTATTCTCCGAGGCTATAGCTTCCTGATTTCTCAGCCAGATGTTTGGTTAAGGTCTAGTTACAGTCAGGGACGGATTCGTCTGGAGCCTCTGAGTCTCAGTGCCTGGCTGGGAACTTGGAGTCCAAGGAGCCGACTGTCCTGTCTCTTTACCTGTGCCTGTTTATCCCGCAGGGCGGGGTGGGGACTGTCCAAACATTTTGGTGGGCCTGTGCATTGTCGGCTGCATGACGGATGCGACCTGCTGGGCCGGGGAAAGGTGCTGCAAGTCAGGCTGTGGCCGCTTCTGCGTCCCACCGGTTCTGCGACCCGAACTGGCCGTAAACCCCAGCTGGAGCCTCAGGTCTGATTCTGAATTAGGTGAGTACAGCCCGTCATGGCTGAAAACAGTGAACTTAACTGCTACACGCAGAGCACTGGCTTAGGTGCCGGGCAGGGGGCCTCAGAAAAGGTCAAGACAAAGTTCTTGCCCTGCAGAGGCTAGTTGGGAGAAAAAGATCATCTGTCACAGATGAGAACCTCAGGCTCCTAGGCTCTGAGTGGGCGTGCCTCCTTAGGAAGGTCTTTCTGCCAGAAGTGGGATTTGATCTCGGTCCTCAAGGCTAGGTGGGATGTGACGGAGGCAGGATAGCACAGAGAACACGCTGGACAGCTAGTCTGGTGGTTAGCAAAGGCACAGAGGGTGGAATGTGTGTGATATTTGGGGAGGTGGGTAGGGGTGGGGCAAGCATGTGCGAAGGAACAGTTGAGCTGTTTTCATGCTAGGAGATACGAGGTTGGCATCTGAAGGAGTAGAGTCTTCACTACCAGTTTAGACTGGATTATCTGGGAAGCAGGGCACCATTCAAGGCTTTGGGAGCAACGTATGCCATGCTTCTCTAGGGTGGAGGGGAAACCTCTCTGAGGGGGCGGGGAGCTGGAGCCAGGAGGGCATGGATGTGACCTGATGTTTCTTTTTTTTTTGCAGAGACCCCAGTGTCCTAGCTTGTCATGATTTGTCCTGCGCTGCTGCAGGGGGCTTGTCCTGGCCACGAGAAGAGGGAGATATCTTGGCGCTGTGACCCTCCCTGGAGCTCTCATTACCCTTCCCTGCTCTGCTTCTATTCCTGCTGCTGCCCTGAGTGCGGGAAATAGAGCCTCGGGTTTGGGCAATGGTGTTCGGTGCTGCTTTTCCCCAGTAAAGGCTCAGGCTGGCCTTCCTGTCTGTGCTGTTTGAGGGCAAAGATGAGGGGAGAGAGCTAGGGGGTCTGGGCATGGCTGTGGGATTATGGGACCTAAGGCAACCCATCCTTTCTGAGAACACTGAAACTGGGTGCTGCTCAGGCGGCGAGGGCAGATGGGGTGGGAGCTCAGCTGACTCCCCCCAGAATCTCTCTCGGGCCTCAGAAGTGGGCCCGTCAGGCGTCTTCTTGGGCCCGCTGACCTTTCTTTCATCAGTTTGTGAGTTGGGCTTGGAACTGAGGTGGGTGGCTAGTTTATTGCAGTCCTTTGGATGTTCCTATCTTGGACCTTCTTCCTTAGGGGCTGGCCCGTGGCTCCAAGACAGGCAGTAAGTCCCCGCCAGGTCGCTTTCCTGTAGGGAGAGATTGTCTTTAGGTTCTTGGAACCAAGATCATTTTAAAAAATTATATTTGTTAGAGGGCACCTGGGTGGTTCAGTCAATCAAGCTTTGGACTTTGGCTCAGGTCATGATCTCGCTGTTCGCAAGTTTGAGCTCCATGTCGGCCTATGTGTTGACAGCTCAGAGCCTGGAACCCACTGTGGATTCTGTGTCTCCCTTTCTCTTTGCCCCTCCCCCACTTATGCTCTGCCCTCTCTCTCTCTCTCTCAAAAATAAACATTAAAAAATTATATTTGTTAGGCATACAACATGGATCATATGCTATATCTTGGAGACATTTATATCCTCACATACATTCCCGTAATGGGACTCCATGAAAGTAGCTCATTTAACTAGTCATCTCTTTTTGGACATTAATCCTTGTACATATAAATGCTGGTCTACTTTTGTAGGTAAATCTGGGGAAAATCTCAATAGTAGAATTCTAGTTTCTCAAATAGAGCCTGGCCAAAAAAATAAAAATTAAAAATCAAAGTCCCTCAATCAGTGTTTGCTGAATGAATGGAAGAATGAATATAATTCCCAAGTCCATTAGGAATTTTTTGAGCTTCAAGTAAAAGAAAACCCAGCCAACAGCGGCTTAGTCAGTAAAGACATTTAAGTTTCTCACATCAGAGTCTGGAGAGAGGCAGTGAGGCTGGTTTGGCAGCTCACCCTCAACACCAGTGGGCTGAAACTTTCCTTCCTTCCCCATCAACCTCGGTGTGCTGGCTTGTCCGGGAGAGGGTCACCTCGTGGGTGCAGGGCAGCTACTGCAGCTCAGAACTTCACAGCAGGAAGATGCAGTGGTGAAAAGACCTTCACCTCAGCTGGCGCTCTCCTCTTAATGATGCAGACCATCTTCCCCAGAAGCCAACCCCTCCCCAGATTTCCCTTGGCCAGAGCTGTTTCTGCAAAGGGGGCTGGAAGAGCAAATGGGAAAATGTGACTGGCTTTGATTAAACATGCTTCGTCCTTGAGGCTGAGGATGGGCCCACCGGGATATAAAACTGAGATTTACTAGCAAGGAAGGAGAGAATGACTTTGGGGTAGGTGGGTAATGAACTTCATGTGTCACACTGGCTCAAAGGACACATGCATTCAAAATTTAGACAAGTTGCTAAGAAGGCAGGGCTTTGATAGCAAGAAAAGAGAGTATTAGTGCTCACCTTGAATATTGCAAAAATGTGTTTGTAATTCCCAACTCTAGTGGAAAAAAGCAAGTTACAACTTAAAAAGAAAATTCCCATCACTGCTATCTTTTTGTGCCCCTTTCCTCTGTTTTCACACTGGCCTGTGAAATTCTGGTTTCTGCTAGGATCCTAACGCCTCTCTCTCCGAGCAGACCAGACGTGTCCATTGTCGCCTGATCGGAGGCAGAGTGGCTGGTATGAACCTGACAGTGGCTGTCCCAGGGATCCCCGGGGCTCCAGGCTCACAGAGCAGGGAACTAGGGGGACCCACTGGGGTCAGTGTGACAGGTGGCTGAACATTTTGGCATTTCCTCTTCCACTGTTTTGCTTCTCTGTTATTGTTTATTTAAGAAATCAAAACAATACATGCACACTGTTTAAAAAAATCAACAGGGAGAAGCTCTCAGTGAAAAACAGCAGTCCTGGAATCTTCAAATACTATAAAGTAGGGTGATTTTCTGCCGGGATGGGGGTGGGAGTGGAAAGGAAGGTGCGAGCCCAAGCACAGCACAAGGCTGAGCCCCAGGAGAGAGGTCCCTTCCAGATCTTCCCTCTGAATCTGGGCAGCCCACCTGGTCCACATGGGAGGAGTGACATGGGGTGGGGGGAGGGAAGAGAATGGGGGAGGGAGAGAGGGAGGGAGGGAGAGAATGGGGGAGGGAGAGAGGGAGGGAGGGAGAGAATGGGGGAGGGAGAGAGGGAGGGAGGGAGAGAATGGGGGAGGGAGAGAGGGAGGGAGGGAGAGAATGGGGGAGGGAGAGAGGGAGGGAGGGAGAGAATGGGGGATGAGAGGGAGCGAGAGCGAAAGAGAAAGCATGAACTGAAGACGTGAACTTGACCTTGGGGTTGTGTTGGAGTTGGAGGTCAAAGGCCAGATTCCATGTCTCCCCCACACCCCCACCTTCCCCGCCCCAGGCTCTTTCCCTACTCTTGTAACCTAAATCAAAGGAGCCATCAGAACCTTCCCTTCCTCAGAGTTTAAGGCCATTTCAGCCTCAGGCCTGGGGGAGCGGGTCTCAGTGGATCCTGCTCCCATGATGCCCTACACTTGCACCCCGAAAATAGCTTCTGGCGGGACGGAAAAGCCACACCCACGCTCCGTCCCATCCTCAGCTTCTAGGTGGCTCACCTTGGGGGGGTGAAACCTGAAACCCGCCCCCCAGGCACAGGGCAGGGTGGGACCAGGGTGGGTCGGGGGAAAGCCACCCCCGATCCGCCCCGGGGCGGCTGTAACAAGCTAGGGAGCTTACAGGACGCTGGTCTTGGGCTCTGGAAGACAGCAGGGCGCCGCGCCCGCCCGCCGAGCCGGAACAGTTCACAGGGGGGCCTTAACCAGGCTCGGTCACAGGTACCCGCCAGACCGTCTCAACAACACGCGGCTCCCTCAAGGCTACACCCTTGACAAGGGCCCCCGCTGTGGGAGTGGTGGGCGGAGCCTATGCTCCGAGGACGGGGTGGGAGCGGAGGGGCGCAGGGGAGGGGGAGGAACCTCCAACTGCCCAGGGTCGGCTAGCAGGTCACCTGGAGGTCGTCGTATCCTCTCGGTCACCTCCTCCAACACTTCCTTGCAGTGGGCAGGGAATTCTGGGGCTCAAGTGCGAGTCGTCTGAGACCTGTTTTCTGACCAGAGTCAGTGGGTCTTTCAGTTCCGGCTTCTCCATCCCCTTCCTTGACCTTCAGGCGGTGGAAACCCCTGGCGGCACACGTGTGTGCCCATTTCAGTGACACGGGCCCTGCGTCCTCAACCTGCCGCTCCTCTGGATCTTGCTCCCTGGGGGGCATAATGTCATTGGTAAGTGGGATATGTGGGGGGGGCGGGGTGCTCAACCCCTGCACCTGCAAGGGGGTGCTTTTGAGGGCTACCTTCCTTTTCCTACCCAAGTGAAGCTCTCTTGTCAAGGGGGTTGGTGGCTAGAAGGCCAGCTTCGCGTGGAGTCGCAAGCATCAGAAAAGAATGAAGAAGCCCCCCCCCCCCCAAGAGCTGACAGCTAACCCTCACTGAGCACTGACCACAATTGACGTGCACACTCGTATTTCATCTTAGCAGTGGCCCTGGGGAGACAAGAGAACTGAGAAAGTTAAATGACTTGCCCAAGGCCTCGGAGTGGGTGGCAGGGCTCGTTTGAACCTCGTTTTGTAGGAGTTCAACACTTTTGGTATCCTGCTTCCTCTCACCATCAGATGGCGGTAGGCGAGTGGTTTGGGATCAGCTGTGATGGTTTGGAAAGTAAGGAAAAGAGAGACAGGCATGGGTAACTGCATTCCACTCCAGACTGGGTGCGTGACCTCTAGGTCAGAGAGGGAGAGACGCAGGAAGGGAGAGACAGGGTGAAGGGGAGAGGGACACAGGGAGAGGGAGACAGGGTGGAGGGGGGAGGAGGGAGTGAGAAGGAGAAAGAGGGAAGGAGGAGAGAGGGAGGGAGGGGGAAGGAGTGAGAGGGAGAGACAGAAACCCAAGGTGGGGGAGACAGGGAGAGATAGGGAGGGAGAGGGAGGGAGGGAGAGAGGGGGGAGAGAGTGAGAGAGAACAGGGAGGGAAAGAGGGAGGGAGGGGGAGGGAGGGGGAGAGGGGGGAGAGAGTGAGAGAGAACAGGGAGGGAAAGAGGGAGGGAGGGGGAGGGAGGGGGAGAGGGGGGAGAGAGTGAGAGAGAACAGGGAGGGAAAGAGGGAGGGAGGGGGAGGGAGGGGGAGAGGGACAGGGAGGGAGGGAGAGAATGAGAAGGGGACAGAGACAGACATGGGGTTCCATGAGATTGGCAGTCCCTTCCAGCCCTGAGATTCTCTGAGCAGGTCCCAGGTGGGAGGAGCTTGGCCCTGGAAATCTGTGACCTATTCATACTCCCCCTTTCATGCTCTCTCGTTGATATTCTGGTCACTCTGACGTCCAGATCTTACATACTGATAGCAGCTCTTGAATTGTTTTCTCCCAACAACGACCTGGGTCCCAGCTCGAGCCTGAACCAGGACACCAGTGCGGCCAAGGGAGGGAAATGAAATGCAGTTTGTGAGAGTTGGGGCAGGGCCCAGACCCTGAAGGTGGGGTGTGTGTGTTCAGAAAGGGCTCAAGGCCTGTTTGGAGTGGCGGGGGGCTCAGACCCTCCTGGGCTCAGCTGCTTTGGGGGCCTGTGGGAACACCAATGGGTGGGCAGTTTTGAGTGGAAAAAAATTCTTGGCTGGGTGCCTTTGTTCTCAGAGCCACAAGAGGGCAGCAGAGGTCTAAGTCATAGACAATTTCCAGGCAAGAGAAATGCTCTGAAATTCCAGAACCCTAAAGGAAAAAGTTCAGTATTTTTTTAAAAAAAATTTTATTTATTTTTTTAGTTGGAAAAAGTTCGGTATTGTCTGAATTTGTCCCAGCTTCTTCCTGTCACTTTGAGAAAAACGTTACACGCCGGGCTCTATAATCCAG